CACAGTAAAGCCCAAAAGAAGTGAGCGAGGAAACAACCAGGGCTGTGAGGCCACAAAGCGGATGGAGGCTTCGTCCACTCGCACATCGGTCTCTTCACGCACTTCACGCACGATACACTCCTCCAGAGTCTCACCGAATTCCACGAAGCCTGCCAGCGCGGAGAAGCGAGGTGGCCAGGCGGCCTTGCGGCCCAGCAGGCGATCTCGGCGAGTTACGAGCACCATCATAGCTGGGTCCAGGCGTGGCCTGAAGCGAGCACCGCACGCCACACAGCGGCGCTTTGCGCTTTGCGCCACGATAAGGCTCAGTTTGGCTCAGTTTCGCATAGCGCGCAGAAGCGCACTGACCTATGCCACGCTGCCAAACCTGCAGCTGTGGACAACAGCGCGGCATAGTCACTCGCCAAGTCCTCGCAAATGGACACCCCCGCACGCGATCGCAGCTTGCCCCTGCGTCAGGCAAGCCCATGGCAGTTGGGCTGGGTGGTTCTGGAAGTTCTGAAAGGTCCAGGAGCCAAAAGCCGTTCCCATATTGTTGCAGAATAGGCATCATTAACGGCCGTATTTGGGGAATGTCATCGGAAAAACAAGATTACCAGTTAGACTCCGTCAAATCCTACACTTCTGGCGCGGCACTCTGAAGACTGAGCAGGCATCCGGGTCGTTAACAGGAAATCATGCCAAACATGGCGAACCCTGAGGCTGCTGGGCGCAGCCCCTTGCAGAGCAACCACACCACGTCCACTGGAGCAACGACACCGAAGCGCCCGCGTGTTGCTCATGCGTCATACCAAGTGTGGATACCATCCGCGCTCCCAACGGGCGCGCCGCAGCAACCTGCGCGAATCAAACAGACACAATCCCCGCTTGCCCACGTGAGCCTCACCCGGGCAGCGGCGAACGCTGAAAAGTCCCCACGCAGTCAAGAACCCAAAGCTCGGGACACAAAGCTCGCCGCATTGCTGCACTGCTGGCACTGCGCTCATCCTGCTCACCAAGGTGTGGCCCGGGCTGGCCTGAGAAACCTTCCGCTCCCCGCGGAGCACTGACAAACTGGGTTGCCAGTCACTGGCGACCCAAAGCTGCAATCACGCACCACCGTCGGCAAGGTGTCTGAGGCAGTCTCCGGAGCACATTGGCAGCTGGGCGTCACCTTTGTGTGACGCCACTTCTCCCGCATAACACCCTCCAAGTAGGCCACGTCGTCCTCCAAGCTGCGCCACCATGCGCAACACGGCGGCCCACCACCCAAATCGGCCACAGGTCTGCGTCTTGGCTCCCTTCATGAGAATGTTGTTCATGTTGGGTAAAAATCCTATTCGGTTAAAAGTTCATTTTCAGGGCGGATACCCACCCTGCCACCCAAGCAAAAAGGTCTTTGCTGACCATGACACAAACCAATGTCCTCGCAACGGCAACTCAGAATCTGAGGGCAGCTCATCGTCATCGTCCAGCCTGTCGAACTTGCCAGCCTTGGCTGACGAACGCCATTCAGGGCACAGGCCCAGAGCCTCTCATGCTCTCACCTTTCCGGCATAGCGATCATCATCTTCGCCGCCCCTGCCCTGGCAGTCCGAAAATGCAACTTTGAACAGACAGCAGCATGGCATGCATCTGTCGCCTTCATTCGTCGTCCAGCGGGCCGCGCTCCCTCCTGGCAAGATCGCAAGTGAGCAAAGATCTTTTTGTGAAACTCAAAGCTCTTCGGAGCGCCCCGCCTCCGGCACCTCCTCATCGTAGTCCACATCCATGGCGAAAAGAAAGAAAGGAATGCCAGGGGCTCGTGCACAGCTCGATGCGCTAGAGCAAAACGCTGCGAATGTAAGTGGCAAGTCCCCGCGCGCGCTGGGCAAAGAGAGCAACAGCGACATGGATGCGCGATCAGCGCTGCAAGCTGACCAATGCGCCCTATTCGCTTGCGCGCTAACGTCATTAGCCTGAAATGAGGTGGGTGAACGCGAAGTGTCAGTGCAAGTGTGGGGGTGGGGGTGGGTGCCCGCGGGAGCGAGCAGGCGCACACGCGCGCGCGAGGGCGTGCGTGCGTGTGCATGCGTCCGCGCGCGTTTCGTGCGCGTGGCGCGCTGGGCACGCCGGCACGCGCGCGGCGCGCACGGGCGCCCACGTGCGAGGCGGGCGTGCGCGCGCGAGCGTGCGGGCGGGCGGGAAGGTGCGCCGCGTGCGCGCGTGCGTGCGTGCGCAGCGTGCAGCATCGTGCGCCCGTGGGGCGTGCGGGCGCCCCGGGGGGGGGGGGGGGGGGGGGCGAGCATGCGAATGTGCAAAAAGGCGACTGCGGGCGCCGCGCGGGGCGCGCGCGGGCGAGCGGGCGGGCGGACGGGCGTGCGTGCGTGCAGCCTGCCGTGCGCGCGTGCAGGTGTGCGCGTGCGTGCGTTTGCATGCGTGCGTGTGCAGGCGTGCGCGCTCGCGTGCGAGTGCGCGCCCACGCCCGCGCGCGCGCCCCTGCCCGGGGGGGCGGGGGGGCAGGGGGGCGGGTGTGGGGGTGCCGGGTTTGGGGGGTGGGGGGGTGGGGGGGATGGTGGGAGGGTGGGGGGTGTGGGGCTGTGTCTGTGTCTTTGTCTGTGTCTGTGTCTGTGTCTCTGTCTCTGTTTGTGTCTCTGTCTGCGTCTCTGTCTGTGTCTGTGTCTGTGTGTGTGTCTGTGTGTCTCTGTGTGTGTCTTTGTGTGTGTGTCTCTGTGTGTGTGTCTCTGTGTGTGTGTCTCTGTGTGTGTCTCTGTGTGTGTGTGTCTCTGTGTCTTTCTGTCTGCGTGTGTGTATGTGTGTCTGTGTGTGTGTCTGTGTGTGTCTGTGTGTGTGTGTGTCTGTGTGTGTGTCTGTGTGTGTCTCTGTCGGTGTCTGTGTGTGTGTGTCTGTGTGTGTCTGTGTGTGTGTCTCTGTGTGTGTCTGTGTGTCTGTGTGTGTCTGTGCGTGTCTGTGTGTACCTGTGTGTGTCGTGCTGCCTCTCTGTGTCCACTCTGTGTGCCTCTCGTGTGGTTTGTGCGTCTGTGCGAGTGTACTGGTGTGTGTGGTCTGTCTGTGTGTGTGTGTCTGGGTGTGTGTCTGTGTGTGTGTCTGTGTGTGTGTGTCTGTGTGTGTGTGTCTGTGTGTGTGTCTGTGTGTGTGTGTCTGTGTGTGTCTGTGTGTGTGTGTCTGTGTGTGTGTCTGTGTGTGTATCTGCGTGTGTGTGTGTCTGTGTGTGTGTCTGGGTGTGTGTCTCTGTGTGTGTGTCTCTCTGTGTGTGCGTCTGTGTGTGTATGTGTGAGTCTGTGTGTGTGTGTCTGTGTGTGTGTCTGTGTGTGTGTGTGTCTGTGTGTGTGTGTCTGTGTGTGTCTCTGTCTGTGTCTGTGTGTGTCTGTCCGTGTCTGTGTGTGTCTCTGTCTGTGTGTGTGTCTGTGCGTGTGTGTGTCTGTGTGTGTGTGTGTCTGTGTGTCTGTGTCTGTGTCTGTGTTTGTGTCTGTGTTTGTGTCTGTGTCTGTGTGTGTCTGTGTGTGTGTCTGTGTGTGTGTCTGTGTGTGTGTGTCTGTGTGTGTCTGTGTGTGTCTGTGTGTGTCTGTGTGTGTCTGTGTGTGTCTGTGTGTCTGTGTGTGTGTCTGTGTGCGTCTGTGTGTGCGTCTGTGTGCGTCTTTGTCCGCATCCGCGCGCGTGTCTGTGCGCGTGTCTGTGTGCGTGTCTGCGTCCGTGTCTGTGTGCGTGTCTGTGCGTGTGTCTGTGTGCGTGTCTGTGTGCGTCCGTGTGTGCGTGTCTGTGTGCGTGTCTGTGCGCGTGTCTGTGTGCGTGTCTGTGTGCGTGTCTGTGTGCGTGTCTGTGTGCGTGTCTGTGTGCGTGTCTGTGCGCGTGTCTGTGTGTGTGTGTCTGTGTGTATCTGTGTGTGTCTGTGTCTGTGTGTGTGTCTGTGTGTGTGTGTCTGTGTGTGTGTCTGTGTGCGTGTGTGCGTGTGCTGCGTGCGCTGCGTGTGCTGCCTGTGCTGCGTGTGCTGCGTGTGCTGCGTGTGCTGCGCGTGCCTGCGTGTGCTGCGTGTGCTGCATGCGCTGCGTGTGCTTCATGTGCTGCGTGTGCTGCGTGTGCTGCGTGTGCTGCGTGTGCTGCGTGTGCTGCGTGTGCTGCGCGCGCTGCGTGCGCTGCGTGTGCTGCGTGCGCTGCGTGTGCTGCGTGTGCTGCGTGTGCTGCGCGTGCTGCGCGTGCCGCGTGTGCCGCGTGTGCTGCGTGTGATGCGTGCGCTGCGTGTGCTGCGTGTGCTGCGTGTGCTGCGTGTGCTGCGTGTGCTGCGTGTGCTGCCTGTGCTGCGTGTGCTGCGTGCGCTGCGTGTGCTGCGTGTGCTGCGTGTGATGCGTGTGCTGCGTGTGCTGCGTGTGCTGCCTGTGCTGCGTGTGCTGCGTGTGCTGCGTGTGCTGCAAGCGTGCGCTGCGTGCGTGCGCTGCCTGTGTGTGTGTGTGTGCTGCCTGCGTGCGCTGCCTGCGTGTGCTCCCTGCGTGCGCTGCCTGCGTGTGCTGCCTGCGTGCGCTGCCCGCGCGTGCTGCCTGCGTGTGCTGCCCGCGCGTGCTGCCTGCGTGTGCTGCGTGCGTGTGCTGCGTGCGTGTGCTGCGTGCGTGTGCTGCGTGCGTGTGCTGCGTGCGTGTCGTGCGTGCGTGTCGTGCGTGCGTGTCGTGCGTGCGTGCGTGGCGTGGCGTGTCGTGTCGTGTCGTGTCGTGTCGTGTCGTGTCGTGTCGTGCCGTGCCGTGCCTGCGTGTCGTGTCGTGTCGTGTCGTGTCGTGTCGTGTCGTGTCGTGTCGTGTCGTGTCGTGTCGTGTCGTGTCGTGTCGTGTCGTGTCGTGTCGTGTCGAGTCGTGTCGAGTCGTGTCGTGTCGTGTCGTGTCGTGTCGTGTCGTGTCGTGTCGTGTCGGGTCGTGTCGTGTCGTGTCGTGTCGTGTCGTGTCGTGTCGTGTCGTGTCGTGTCGTGTCGTGTCGTGTCGTGTCGTGTCGTGTCGTGTCGTGTCGTGTCGTGTCGTGTCGTGTCGTGTCGTGTCGTG